TCTCTCTCTCTCTCTCTCTCTCTCTCTCTCTCTCTCTCTCTCTCTCTCTCTCTCTCTCTCTCTCTCTCTCTCTCTCTCTCTCTCTCCCCCTCCCTATCTCTCTCCCTATCTCTCTCTCTCACATGTACACACACACACACACACAAAACAAAGCGACGTGCGATGACCGAAAACATGCAAGAACAATCATTCTGACACCGCGATCTGCATCGTCTACCCAATGTCTCACATTTGCAACCGCCCACAGACAGTGAATTACATCCCGCAACACTCATGGCCCTGTCAGAAACGATGTCAGAACATGATTTCCAGAAAGCGCGTACAAACACAGAAAAAATTCATAGCGCCCCAAACTTTCATTTTCGACGCTCAGATCATTATCGAGCGATTGGAAACCCACATGAGCGAGTGAGCTTGGCGAGCAGCACATATCTTCGCAGTACCTCGGCACTAAATTTTCCCTTTGCAGTAACTATGCCAGGAAACAGGAGCCAAAGTTGCCGTAGAATTGAGTCAAGAATTGTGTCTCAACTCTCCAGTCTGGGTGCAAGTTCTGGGGTCAAAAGTCACTGTGTAGGGCCAAAAGCCGCCTGAGGTGTCTAGAAGACACCCACAGGGCCTGGAAAAGTCAACTCAGGCCTGACGAAAGTCAGCAGTCAGGCCCTGTTAAGCCACAGTAGAGCAAGAGTCAAAGATTTTCCACGAGTGAACCTTGGCCACAGATCACAAAAGAATCGAAAGCTCATGCAACAGCTTGCGGAAGCTTCCAGACTCACTGGGACCAAGCATACACTGGCTGTGACAGACTCCTGCAGAAGTACAGATTGAGAAATGTCAGTTGTTCGAGGAGGCAACCTGAGGCACCAGGGCAGCCAACACTTCAAAAACGAGGCGCGTCCGAGCGCAGGCATTCAGTCAGCTTGGTGAGTCGATGCTGATGCTCGAGCACCAAAGGAGTCTTCTTAGCGCCAGGCGGAGGTAGACAGAGATAGGCAGAGGCAGCCATAGCTGTGTGGAGGTGGCCTGTAGAGGAAGGGAAGCTGTTGCCTCCAGAGTGTGCATGGTGTGTGTGTGTGTGTGTGTGTGTGTGTGTGTGTTTGAATTTCCACCACAACAGTCAACAGTCCCTATTCCACCCAGATGAGTAGATCCAAAGTCAAAGCCACTTGAGTTGAGACAATCCAAAAATGAAACAGTTTTACCTCTATAGCAAGCAACATGGAGCATAATAGAAGCGTTTAATAATTTAATTCCCTTTCTTGAATGTGTTCATTTTAGCTTTCTTTGGGCTACCCCTTTCATTTGTTCTTGCAGCCCCTCTTTACTGTGCCTCTGACGTACAAGGCTCGCCACGTTGATTATGGTTGAGCGCGGGCTTCCCACATCCCCGTGTGCCATAACGGCCCACTGGCACACTCTGAAAGGAGGCAGAGTAAAGGCGGATGTATATTCCTGTTCATTTTTCCTCAAATCTTCAACTTATATTTTGCACGTTCGCTTAATGATTCTCATTCGTATGCATTTACTAGAAGTACAGAAGAGGAGGGAGGGTTGTGTGTGCGTGTGTGTGTGTGAGAGAGAGACTCAGAGAGACAGAGAGACAGAGAGACAGAGAGACAGACACACACACACACACACACACA